TTACAGTAATATTCTGCCCATTAAAGTGTCTGATCTCATTTTTGAGTTTCTCTTCTTCAATTTGTGTTTTTCAGGATGCTGCCTTGCATGTTTACAGCCGTCCAGGAGCTGCTGCCATCGCCGCATCCTCTAAGATGTGATGCCTTAAATTTCAAGCGAGCAGATGCACTTGCGTCATAACTGACCACTACTGAAATGAAACATCAGGAAAGGCTCAAAATACAAGTAATCTGGCTTTTACTGTTGTGGCTAATTGGTTTTTGATTCAGTTTTTCCAAGCAATTTATTTCTCTAAATTGTCAGCACTTGCATTTTTCTGAAAGCTTGTGAGCTGCACCACAACCAGGTTGCAATAAAGTCACCATGATAATACTGCAGTGTTTTTAAGCTTTGAGTAGTAACTGTTTGCTTAGACCACCTGAGTTTAACAGGCACTTAAGAGCATTTCATTTAATTTTGATTTGATTGCATTAAGCTAATTAACCAAACCAGCCTCCAGTAATTCCTCACGTTATATGTACTACTAAGCTATGATGCTTGCAATTTTAAAAAAGCGTTGCAAGTTTGAAAGAAATCTGCATTAAGGATGATACTTGGTATCTGCTTTAATGATGAGTCTCAATTTAAGCTGGTAAAACATCTGGATTTGTTATTCACCACAGGTTTGCTGCTTTGCTTTTCCCCCCCAGTATGAGCGATGATCTATTGTGGGTTTGTCTGTTTGTTCGTCTTCTTTCCTCATGTTTGACTGAACCACTGGTGAATGTTATCATTGTGGGTATGTGGTGATGAGCAAGTTAAAAGATGTAATATTAACTAAAACAGTCATTTGTGCCTTTTTTATATACAAAAACTACCACTAACATGGATTTAACCTTCATCCTTAACAACCCAGGTTTGTTTCTGTTTAGTGTGGGGTTTATTTGATTTTTGATGGTGTGGTGGGTGGTTTTTATTTTATTTTTTTTTTTTTGGAGGGGGGGGATGGGGGGGCTTTAACATAAGAATTCTGACATTCTCCAGTCAAGTGGGAAACTTAATAAAATAAATCTGACCTTTAAGAGTAATGCAAATTCAAGCATGTAATGATGAAAAGTAACTGTCTAAGTTAAATCTCAGTTTTGAATTGTTTGTGTGAACTTTCTGCTGATCTGAATGTGACTGACTTCTTTTATTAATGTCTGTACTGGAAAATATTTCTCATCCGTTCTGTGCTTAGATTAAATGAATTTGTAATTAAAAGTTCATCCATCTTCCTTTGTCTCCTGTACTTTTTCAAAGAAACGATCATGATTGATTTTACGAAAACAATCCTCAACTTGTTTGGACATAGCACGTTTTCACTGGTTCCTTTATTTGCAGCATGTTTTAAAAGCAATAGAGGTTCTCTGCTCAAGCTGTACGTGTCATATCTGCAAGTTGTGGAAGAATGAAACCCGGCTGTAAAGTTTCAGCACAGGGGTGTGTCTGGAGGTAGGGCATGAGTTCACTCAAATTCATCATTCACACAAGGTTGAAGTTGAACTGATAATGAAGCAGTGCAGTTTAGTGCATGCATACGTATATTCACCAGAACTTGCACAATTCTCTTTCAAGGCAGCTTGCTCTCAGGGCAGTATTTACTTTAAGGATATAGTATTATAATTTGTATGTTAAAATTTAGATTTTTTTTTTTTTTTTTATTAAGAGGGCTTTAAGGTTATAGTACAGTAATAATCAGAAAAGGGTAGCATGGCAGTTGTTTACTTTGATTAAACAAACATTATGTAGCAGTTGGTAATTGATAAGAGGTTAATTTTCAACCAGTAAGTCACTGGAGACCTTGATGGATTTAGGGGAAATTTTAATGAATTGTTAAAATGAAACTTATCCCTTTACCTCCCTTTTTGCCATAACATGGTGAAGTTGCAATAGCCAGCCATTTTGAAAACAGTCCATGTACTCTGTAAATCAAACCCTCACAAATATGACATCACTGGAAAGTCCAGCATATCCTGTACTGAGAGTACAGTAGGACTCATATGGATAGCGTACATTTTGATTGATGTACAGATCTCCCACAAAAGTCCCCCACATAGTACAAAAAATGAATTGCTGGATTTTAGGAGAGTGTATACAATTATGAGTTTCAAAGTAAAACGTCTAATTACTTTTTTTTCCCTTTTCCCTGAAAAACAGTCATTCAACACAGAATTATATTTAAAATCTTGTGTGGTTGGAAATTCATGCCTAGTGTTTACCACCCCAGTTTTCTACACTAACTATATTTCTGACTGAATATTTTGATTGTGACTTTTTGAACCACCTGAACCATGGAAGTTAGCTCAAGTGACATCTGCTCTTCTGCTAACAATGACCATTGCATGCATTATTTCTGCTGAACGCTCTCTCGGCTGTTAATGGAGTCAAAGACCAGCGGTTCCACCTCTGCAATCCAAAGGCACTGAGCCCAGCCCTGTCAAGACGCTGCAGGTAACACAATGATAAGTGTTCAAACTGTCTAGAAGTGAAGAATTGATTATATAAAAAGAACAGTCTAATCCCTTCTCCCATTATATTTTTTCTCCCTGGGTAACAGGGCTGTATCTTCTATGTTCTTTGCCCTTATTTCAAATATGAGGGTGTAGTACAGCTCTGGATTGTCTGCTGAGAAAACAGAGCTGTACTTTTTGTGTTTAGATTGTGATTATGTGTAGCAGCTTTACTGAAGAATATGTCAATAATGACAGCACTGAAAGTTTTATTTATTTTTTTCTGCTGATAAGTTATTGATAAGTGTTGGCCAGGGGATGGCGCCATTTGAACTGTACAAATGTTGTGACACATGAACTTTTTCTTTGTATCAATGTTTTGAAAAGCTCAGGAGAGTCATACATTTATGAACCCAAACCACAGTCACCTAGATTGTAGATGTACCAATGTATCCAAAACTTGAAAATCAGTCATACTTAATTAATATGAAAACACGAAGTGTAACTCCAAACTAATATCCTAACAGCTTCACTTTGGAGAGACCCAGCTTCAGTTTCTAGAGTCCCAGGTCAGAGTGTCTCCATATGTCACTTATTACAGCAACTCAGATGATTTCATGTCACATGGGTAATTTAACAGGCTTTAGAGGCATGTGGCCGAGAGCTATAAAGTTTGAGAGTGTCCTAGGCTCAGGCTTTCGCAGGTTTAACTTGGCAGGTTTTTTGATGTTGAGTCATTTTTACTGCGCACAGTACACCTGGAATGTGCATGAATGCACCAGAGCTTCCTTAGAAAAGCATGCAAACTGGAACCAACCCAGAACCCTTCTCTTGTGCAGTGGCCATTGTTACAAATGCCACAAACCTCATGCTCTAAATACTCTAGATGCATTCAAACATATTCTAGCTGTACTCTGCAGATGTCAGTTGGAGCTGTGAAGCTGGTGCTGAGGTGGAGAACGTTGCCAAACACAAAAATCAATTCAATTCAATTCAATTCAATTTATATAGCGCCAAATCACAACAAAAGTCGCCTCAAGGCGCTTCATAGATACAGAGAAAAACCCAACAATCATATGACCCCCTGTGAGCAA